CATGGTATGTTTTTCCACTTATGTAGATCTCTTTTGGTTTCTTGCAGAAGTGTTTTGTAGTTTTTTTTTTTTTTTTTTGTATAGGTCTTTTATGTCCCTGGTTAGAGTTATACCTAAGTCCTTTATCTTCTTGGGGGCTATTGTAAATGGTATTGATTTGATGATTTCCTTTTCAAAGTTCTCTTTGTTGGTGTAGAGGAATCCAACTGATTTTTGTATGTTAATCTTGTATCCTGCTACTTTGCTGAAATCTTCTATTAGTTCCAATAGCTTTCTTGTGGATTCTTCGGGGTTTTCTCTGTGTAAGATCATATCATCTGCGAATAGTGATAGTTTTACCTCTTCCTTACCAATTTGCATGACCTTTATTTCTTTTTCTTGCCTTATTGCTCTCGCTAGGACTTCCAACACAATGTTGAATAAGAGTGGTGATAAAGGGCACCCTTGTCTAGTTCCTATTCTCAAGGGGAATGCTTTCAGTCTCTCTCTGTTACGAATGATGTTGGCTGTCGGCTTTGTGTGATTCTGTGAATTTTTTATTCCATCTGTCTTAGTCATCTAGTGCTGCTGTAACAGAAATACCACAAATGGATGGCTTCAACAAACAGTCTAGTCTCTCACAGTCTAGTAGACTAGAAGTCTGAATTCAGGGCATTAGCTCCAGCGGAAGGCTTTCTGTCTCTGTGCTCTGGGGGAAAGTCCTTGTCTTCAGTCTTCCTCTGGTCTAGGAGCTTCTCGAGTGCAGGGACCCCAGATCCAAAGGACACACACTCCTAGCTCTACTTTCTTGGTGGTATAAGGTCCCCCTATCTCTCTGCTCGCTCTCTTTTATATCTCAAAAAAGATTGGCTTAAATTGTAGATTAATTTTGTAGATTGAGTTTACATAACTACTGATAATCCCATCTCATCAGCATCATAGAGATAGGATTTATAACACATAGGAAAATCACATCAGATGACAAAATGGTGGATAATCACAAAATACTAGGAATCATGGCCTAGCCAAATTGATAAACATATTTTTGGGGGACACAGTTCAATTCATGATAACATCCTTGATTTCTTCTGTTACTTAGTAGTTTTGAAGCAAGGTGGTGTTATTCAATTTCCATGTATTTGATTTTTTTTTTCCTTGCTGTTTCTTTTATTGATTTCTATTTATATGGCGTTATAATCAGAAAAGATACTTTGTATTATTTTGATGTTTTGGGTTTTGTTAAGTCTTGCTTTGTGGCCTAAAATGTGGTCTATTCTGGAGAATTTTCCATGTGCTTTGGAAAAGAATGTATACTTTGCTGCTGTTGGGTGGAATGTTCTGTACGTGTCTATGACATCGAGTTGGTTGATTGTGGCATTTGGATCTTCTGTATCTTTACTGAGTTTCTTTCTAGATGTTTTGTCCTTCACTGAAAGTGGTGTGTTGAAGTGTCTGCTACTATTACTGTGAAGCTGTCTATTTGTCTTTTCAATGCTGTTAAAGTTTGTTTTATGTATTTTGGGGTCCTGTCATTGGGTGCGTATATATTTATTATGGTTATGTCCTCCTGGTATATTGACACTTTTGTCATTATATAGTGTCCTTCCTTATCCTTTATGGCAGATTTTGCTTTAAAATTTATTTTATAGGAGATTAATATTGCCACTCCTGCTGTTTTTTGGTTATTGTTTGCTTGATATAGTTTTTCCATCCTTTGAGTTTTAGTTTGTTTATGTCTTTGTGTCTAAGGTGTGTCTCTTGTAGACAGCAGATAGATGGATTGTGTTTTTTTAATACATTCTGCCACTCTCTGTCTTTTTACTGGTGCATTTAGGCCATACGTTCAGTGTAATTGATAGGTATGGGTTTACTGCTCTCATTTTGATTTTTTTTGTGTGTGTGGTTTCGACAGTTTCTTTGTTTCACTTAATTTTCTGTACTGAATTCTTTTTATGTATTTTCTTTTCATCTCTTTCAATATTGTTGGCTTTTTGTTTGCTGAGTCTTTATGTTTTTCTTTTTTCTTTTGATGGGTAGGTTTGTTAGCTTCCTTTGTGGTTACCTTGAAATTTACCTTTATTTTTCTAAGCTTAAGCCAGTCTTTTATTTCTTGATATCACCTTGACTTCCCTCTCCATGTGGAAGTTCTATGTCTACACTGTTTATTCCTTCTTTTTTGTTTTGACATTGTCATCGTTTACATATTGATGTATCTGGTTACCTATTTTCAGTCTTTTAACTTTGATTTGTTTTTGTGAATTCCCTATCTGGATTGATATCTAGTTGATCTGTACTGTGTCCTAGTCTTGGATTGTTGTCTGATGTTGGTTCTCCAGCTGGAGGACTCCCTTTAATATTTCTTGTAATTTTGGTCTGTTTTTTACAAATCTCCTTAATTTCTGTTTATCTGGAAATGACCTAATTTTGCCGTCGTATTTGAGAGTCAGTTTTGCTGGATATATAATTCTTGGCTGGCAATTTGTTTTCCTTCAAGGCTTTATACATGTCATGCTATTGCCTTCTTACCTGCATCGTTTCTGCTGAGTAATCTAAGCTTAGTATTATTGGTTCTCCTTTGTAGGTGACTTTTCATTTATCCCTAGCCGCTCTCAGAATTCTTTCTTTGTCTTTGGTTTTGACAAGTTTGATTATGATACATCTTGGTGACTTTCTTTCGGAGTCTATCCTGAATGGGGTTTGTTGAGCTTCTTGGATAGATATCTTCTCACCTTTCATGATATTAGAGAAGTATTCTGCAAGCAAATCATCAACAATTATCTCTGTGTTTTCCACTATCCCCCACTGTTCTGATACTCCAGTCACTCGTAGGTTTTTCCTCTTGATAGTATCCCACATAATTCTTAGGCTTTCTTTTTTTTTCATTCATTTTTCTGATTTTTCCTCAAACATATTGGTGTCAGGGATTTATCTTCAATCTCACTAATTCTGACTTCCATTGTCTCAATTCTGCTCCTATGACCGATTGATTTCTCTAATTTTGAAATTTTATTATTAATCTTTTGGATTTCTACTTGCTGTTTCTGTACTGACTATAGCAGCCTGTCTATTCTGTTGTTTTGTTCTTGTATTGTTTTCCTGAGTTCTTCTATTGCTTTGCCTGTGTGTTCCTTGGCATGGTCTGTGTTTTGCCTGATCTCCTTCCTGATCTCTTGGAGATCTCTGTATATTAGACTTTTGAATTCTTTATCAGGTAGTTCCGTTGCCTTATCTTCCTCTGGAAGGTTTTCTGGCTCTTTATTTTGGTTGCTTGCTGGAGTCATCTTTTCCTGCTTCTTTATGTGATTTGATATTGACTGTTGTCTCCAAGGCATCAGTCAGTTATATTTATTTATTTATTGTAGTTTTGTTTACTGTGTCCTGTAGTTTTGTTTTGTTTTAATATGTCCAAGTAGGCTGGGCATGTGTGTTACTTTGGTTGTTGGCGTCGTTGAAGCTCTTATCTCCTGTCTCCAGGTGATCGAGCAGCTACTAGGTATGTGAGCCCAGGAGTCTGTTCACTGTTCTTGCAGGAGTACAGTTGTTCGGGGTACAGGTTCTCAGGTCGTCAGTCACCAGGCACGTGATATGGAGACTGTCACCTACAGTCATAGGTGTGCAGGGCTGGATGGGGTTCGGACCAGGCACAAGTCTCTGGTTGCAGTGGGGGACGATGTGTAGGGCTGCACCAAATGGGGTGTGTTTCGGCTTGGGATGTTGCTTGCCTCAGCCCGTGTTAGCTACACAGATTTAGCTAGTAAGACACTGGTGATCCCATGATGTGTGGTTCCCCGTTTCCGCTGTTTTTCTCTCTCCTTCCACCTGGCGCTCAGTCCAATTCTTCAGCTTTGTCTTTGATGATTAGCATTCCTAGATTGTCATATATATCCAATTCAGTTGATTTTTCGAGTCTTTGCTTAAGAGGGATGACATGAAGCATCTGACTGTTCTGCCATCTTGGCCTCGCCTCCTTTCATTGTGTTTATATTCAGACTAAATTTTTCATTTTAAATGTTGCATTTGGTTCTTTTTGAAATATATTTATTATTTTCTCATAGTTTTTCATTTTTCTTCTATGTGTTAGTCATTGTGTGTATGTATATATGCTGTTCTATTAGCTGAAGTTCTTGGGGATCTAATCTTGTTGTCTGTGTCTGCCAACAGTTGCTCATGGTAGACTGTTTCCTCATGTGTGTTTTATCATTTTGGACTGTGAGGTCATTTTTCAGAATGACCCTATCTGTGCATTGTAGATTGAGGGCATGCCATATTTTGTTTGTTTCTATTAGACATCTTGGGATACCACCATTCTGAGGTCCGTTTTTATATTCATTTCTCCCATGAGTTGAGAATAAATGAATACCAAAACCATGTGAGGCTCAGGGCTTTGTGTTCAAAGTCTCCTGGGAGACTGTTTACCCTACCCAGAGCCTAGGCTGAAATTAACTTCCCTATTTCCCAGAGCTTGCAAGCAGATTTTTTTATGTTGTCTGTTATTTCCCAAGTATAGTGGCTATCCCTTTAAGAGTGCTGGCTCCAGACACAGCCTGGTTCTAATTAACTTTTTCTCAGCATGGTCTCATTTTCTGTTCTTACCAGAGTGTCAGAACACAACCAGATATTTACTAAGACCAAATGCTGCCCACGCCACCACCACCACCTGCCTAGACAGCCACTGGAGCAGCACATACACATATTGATCTGATTTTCAGTTTTCTCTTTGTTTTTGGTCCCTAGAGATTTCCTTTTTTTTTTTTTTGAAAGCATGACTGTGCTTTTTAAAGGATGTTTATCATATTTTAGTCAGCATTAGTCACTCATAGTAGGAAACCTTTCAGGTTATCTAACCTACCACATTGCTGGAAATAGAGGAGTTAAGCATTTTTTTCCTAGTTATAATCACCACTCTCATGGTGATACTATAGGTCAAGTCTGAGTATTTTATGTGAACAAATGAGCAAAATTGCCTTACCGTGCAAATTTTGGGCAATAAATATTTTTCCCCCTTTCTCTTGTCTCTTCAGAAATATCCAGAGAACATTCTAAAAGCCGATCTGCCTGTGTACACTTCAACCCCAGTGAAAGCAATGATGGAATCAGGCATCCAGAAGTCTCCTCTGTTGAGAAGCCTAGAGTTCAGACAGTTGGCGAGCAGCAGTGTGAAAAGGGGAAAGGCTTCTTGAAGCAGCCCTGCTGCATCAGGGAGGTGGGGCCTGGTGAGAAAGGAGACGATCCCACTCGAGCAGCTGCAAGCCTTCCACAGCAGGACTGCCATGGGAAGGCCAACAGGCGGCGTGATACAGTGCCCAAGCCCAAGTATGCCCCTCAGAAAATGCGTGGTCAAGAGCCCAAAGGAGCAAGGTGCTCCCCAGCTGGTTCTAGCCGGCCTGGCAGTGCCAAGGGGGAGGTGCTCCATGCTGGGCAGAATCATCTCCATCATCGAGCATCAAGAAACAAAGTGACACAGGACAAGCTCGCAGGAGGGGTGTACTCAGATTTGCCACAGAGCACAGAGGTGGTGAGATCAGGGCCCAGGAAGCTGGGGACATCCACAGTGTCCAAGGAGACTGATCCACCACCTGGTCTCCTCTCTGGACAGAGTGTGAATATTGACCTTCTCCCCGTAGAGCTCCGGCTGCAGATAATCCAGAAAGAAAGAAGCAGGAAAGAGCTGTTTCGAAAAAAGAACAAGGCAGCAACAATCATCCAGCGTGCCTGGAGAAGGTAGGAGGATGGGGTGCTGTGGCAGCTTTGGTTCTTTGGTTGCCCTTGATGCCTCTAGCAGGACACTTCCTGTTCTCTTTGATGTTCTCCCAGTAAATTCTATGTGGTGGCATGACAAGGTCAATTTTAGGTGACTATGAGTTGGAATCAACGTGACAGCATCTAACAACAACCATCAAATCCACACGTTTTGTTATTAGTTGCCTTCGAGTTGGCTCCAACTAATAGTGACCCTGTGTACAACAGAGCAAAACGTTGTCTGGTCCTATGCCATCTTCATGATCATTGATATGCTCAAGTCCATTGTTGTAGCCACTGTGTATTTGGAGTGCTTTCTAACTTGGGGGTTCATCTGCCAGCTGTATATTGGACAATATTCTATCAGTTTGTCATACTGTGGTGGCTTCCATGTTGCTATGATGCTGGAAGTTATGCCACCAGTATTTCAAATACCAGCAGGGTTACCTGTGGTGGACAGGCTTCAGTGGAGCTTCCAGACTAAGACTTGGAAGAAAGGGCTCGTGATCTACTTCCAAAAGTTAGCCAGTAAAAACCCTATGGGTCACACACGTATAGATCCTAGTAATTTACTTGCATGAGCTATTTGGGAGGTGTTTTGCCAAGAAAGATGGGAAAGTGCCCAAAATAGCATGGTGTAAAGGATTTGTAACCAGGAAGCTGGAGTTTCAGATGAAGCACTGACAGGTTGTCTGACCTTAGGCAAATCACTTGGCTTCCCTGACCTTCAGTTTCCTCAGCTGTAAGTGGGATTTAACAATTGCTGCACCTGTCCTGTTTATACAGACAGGTTGCTGGAATGAGAACTGTGTATGTTTTGCAAACTGTAAAGCACTACATACATATTTTATTTTTCTTCTTATGTCTTCACTACTCAGGGATTAATCATACCACAAACACGTAAACCAAGGCCTGAGTATACAGGACTACCTGAAAAATTTATTGCAAAAATCTTTCTGAGCAACTACCAAGCTCAGAATATGAGTGGGTACTGGGAGTGCATGTGGAGGCTCTCCTAAGATATGGGACAATGTCTGGTGGTAGAGACAAATGCTCCCAGGGAGTAATTATAAGAGGACTTGAGGCATCTCTTGCTAAGAGCTTTCTCATATCTCAGTCTCCTTCACACTGTAAGCACGAAACTAAAACCAAACCAAACCTTTTGTGATTGCGTCACCTCCAACTCACAGCAACCCTATAGGACAGAGTAGAACTGCCCCATACAGTTTCTAAGGCTGTAAATCTTTCCAAGAAGCTGGACCATATGAAGAAGAATGTAGCATATGCAGATGACACGACCTTGCTTGCTGAAAGTGAAGAGGACTTGAAGCACTTGCTGATGAAGATCAAAGACTACATACAGCCTTCAATGTGGATTACACCTCAACATAAAGAAAACAAAAAGCCTCACAACTGGGCCAATAAGCAATGTCATGATAAAAGGAGAAAATATTGAAGTTGTCAAGGATTTCATTGTACTTGGATCCACAGTCAACGCCCATGGAAGCAGCTGTCAGGAAATCAAACGATGTATTGCACTGGGCAAATCCACTGCGAAGTGTTAAAAAGTATTTTAAAGTGTTAAAAAGCAAAGATGTCACTTTGACTAAGGTGCGCCTGACCCAAGCCATAATATTTTCAGTCACCTCATATACATGCAAAAGCTGGACAATGAATAAGGAAGACTGAAGAAGAATTGATGCCTTTGAATTATGTGTTGGTGAAGAATATTGAGTATACCATGGACTGCCAGAAGAATGAACAAGCCTATCTTGGAAGAAGTACAGCCAGAATGCTCCTCGAAAGAGAGGATGGCAAGACTTTGTCTCATGTACTTTGGACACATTATCAGGAGGAACCAGTTCCTGGAGAAGGACATCATGCTTGGTAAAGCAGAGAGTCAGCAAAAAAGAGGAAGACCCTCAATGAGACAGATTGACACAGTGGCTGCAACAATGGACTCAAACATGATTGTGAGGATGGCACAGCACCAGGCAGTGTTTCGTTCTGTTGTACATAGGGTCACTATGAGTCAGAACCAACTCAACAGCACCTAACAACAAATTTTTCCAGAAGCAGACTGCCACATCTTTCTCCTGCGGAGCAACTGGTGGTTTCAAACTGTCAACCTTTCAGTTAGCAGCCAAGCATTTCAACCACTGTGCCACCAGGGCTCCTTCTGTAAGCACCAAACAACAACATCAAAAAACAAACCCGTTGCCATGGAGTCCAGGAGGGTCTAATTTTAGATCAGGCCTTAAATGATAACCAGTGCCCAAGGAAGGATTGAACCCATACCTGACAGATGGGACTCATGTGGCCTTCTCTGTAGAGAAGATTGATGGAGAAAAAGCAAACAAATCACTGCAAGTACAGGAGAAAAAGGAGCTGGAAAGAACCCTAATATTGGAAGAGAGAGAGAACAAGAGAGATTCTTGTGAGGACTGCCTCTCTCATCCCCAGGTGATCCAGTTGGGCTTGCATAGCCTTTGCAGTGTTTTCTCTGGTCAAGCTCCTGGTCGTTTACAAAATCTTGTCTCATGCATGATCCATTTGATCTCCCAACCACACTAGGAAGCAGTCATGACAGGGATTAGTTTCCCCACTTGTCCTAGGGGTACGGATCCAGCACTTGAACCTCTGTCTCACTCAAACCCAAGCGTCTTTCCCTTACATTATTAAGAAAGTTCTTGCTGTGGTCAGGATAATGTAGTTGGAGGCAGGTCTTTTGCTCTTCACCTCAGAAAAGACTGGACAAGAAGAGCTGCCTGGATGGTGGCTTACATGTCAAGGTAACCATCAGGAGCAGGGTGATGTTGTTACTATTTTTAATACTAGCAGTTAGCATTTATTAAGCACTTGTGCCAGGTACTGTTCTAAGTAGTTTTATATGTATTAATTCATTTAATCCTCACAACAACCCTTTGAGGTAGGTACTGTTCTTATCCCCATTCTACAGATGAGGAAACGGAGGCATGGAAGAGTTAGTTAACTTACCGATGTTACAGAGTTTGAAGGTGACAGCACTGGGCTTTGTGCTGAGTCTGCTCCTGAAGCAGAGCTTCAACCATTCTGTGCAGTTCAGTCATGGCCGATGAAGCAAAACCAGAACAGACCCGAATTTTTAAAATTTGGGTGAACTGGCATGATAACCAGAATGGGAGAAATTACAGGTTGAAGCCCTGGAATGGGAGACTCGGAAGAGGCATACTGAGCCCTTTTAGAAGCCTGATGCAGGAGACTGGATTATTGCCAGGACTGTGGAGAGCAACACACATTCAAAGTGGTGCAGTCGGCTGCCATCTTTGAGCAGAGCAGGAGCACTGCTGTTTCCAACTCTGCCGGTCAAGAGATTTGTTTGCTATGCAACATGCATGCTGCCCTTGTTTTGTAAGTGGGATATTAAGTTTCTAGCAGGGCTTCAACCCATAATTTTTCCTGTTCCACTTATCATTCTGATTCACCGACATTTTAAAAATTTGCGTCCATTTGGGTTTCACTTCATTAGCCATGACTGAACCTCAAAGAACCAGTTCGAAGCCCTGCTCTGAAGCCACAGACTGGAATGGTCATGGCTCTCCCTCCTTGGAGAGTTCTTTCAGGATGTGCACTGGCTGCCATTCTAGAGGAGCTTTTTGTTAGGTATTTCAGCTGAAATCTAGGATCTAAACAAGCCAGCAAGGTTTACAACGTCAGGCCCCACAGCTGCTCCCTAGCTAAAATGCCTTCCCCTTAGACAGTCTGTTCTTTGACTCCTTTGAAGAGTCAGAAGCTGACAGGTCCTGTCAGTAAGTGTCCATAGTAGACAATGAGCCTTCAGTCTTTCTTCCCAAGAACAGTAGGCTCATAGTCTAATGTACCCATCTGGGAAGGCAATTATACAGGCCCCCTCTGGCCCAGCTATTGTGCAACTCCGAGGCCTGGGGACACTGACTCCCAAAGTGCTTCTGGGATGCTGCTCATTGTAGAAAGTCACATGTCTGTGATGTTGAAAACACTTTTGTTAATTGTCATATCCTTGTACATCTTCCGTTTTAACTAAAGGAGCCCAACGTGCTGTCCTGGGACTGTATCTGCTAACAAACCTAAGGAGCACCAAGGGATGGGATAGGGAACAGGCATGTAAGTGCTCAGTAAATGCAGGCTATCGTTATAGGAGACAAGTCAAGGATGGAGAAGGGGAGACTGGAAAATACACAGGGATGGAGTGAACTTTGGGCCCTGAGAAAACGAAGCAGTCTTAAAATGAAGTGTGAGCTTTATTACCAGTCCAGACTTGACTTTTCTCAGGTAAATAAGGATAGGAGAGCCCAGGGTGTGTTAGGATTCTCAGCAAACCAGCAGTGGGTGTTCTCAAGAATGAGGGTATAGAGGATGTTCCTCTGAACACCAGAACCATTATGTCACCTGGACACAGACTCACAGTCTCTATACCACAGTCGATTAGGTGGAGGCTGTGCCCACTGAAAGCCAAGGCTACTAACAGCTTCAGCAATACCTGAGCTTCCTAGTGAGTTCTCTGCCCACAAGAGGGTATGGAAGACTCACAGCATCTCACACAGAAGAAAGTGAACTCTGAAACAGTATTGTCCCATCACGCTCGTTTTTCTCTATAGTTGGCTTTTTGGACATGTGGTACCTATTCTAGTAGAGGGATGCCCTGGTTTCTCTCTCTCAAGGAAAAGAAGGGAAGAATTGTGTAGGCTGACTGAAATCAACCTTTGGGGAAGGAAGGATGAGACTGAATCAAGCACTGCAAGGTTTTGGCAGGTTTAGGAAGATGGTTTCCTGTTAGGTGTGTTCTAAAATGTGGCTCAGCCAGGCATGAGTGCTGCTGCTCTCTGCAGCTCCTTAGAGGCCCACCAGGAGTTAACGTGGCTCCAGATAATGAATGCTGATGCAGCTTTCCTTGGAGGCTCCAAAACAGTTGTGTTCAATAAGCAGTTTGGGAACATATGAATGACAGCTAAGGGAGATAGAAACCATCAAATAAACACTCAGTGTGAATATAGCCATCATCCCCCTGCCCCTCCCTTCTCTCCACTCCAAGCTCCACCCTTCAGTAGAACAATCTTAGTAACACAGCTCTTACCTTTGCCAATCTTCTTAAAAACTTCTGAGTCCCCAGCATGTACAGAATGCAAAGTCCTTAGGAATATTTGACTGTAGCACTAGGCAGCACTGAGTTTGAATGGCTCCTCCTGACTTTGGTTGTGTGACCTTATGCAAGTTACTCAGCCTTTCTGAGCTTCCTAATGTCTACCTCACAGTTCTTTTCAGACTTAATCATAGGAAAAGTGCCTGGTATTCAACAGGCCCTCAACAGTGCTGGCTTCTTTGACAGTGTCTTAGTTATCTAGCACTGCTATAACAGAAATACCACAAGTGGATGGCTTTAACAAAGAGAAATTTATTTTCTCACAATCCACTAGGCTAGAAGTCCAAATTGAGGGCGTCAGCTCCCGGGGAATGCTTTCTCTGTCGTCTGCCTTCTCATCAATCTTCCCTTGGTCTGGGAGCATCTCAGCGCAGGAACCTCAGGTCCAAAGGACGCACTCTGCTCCCAGCACTGCTTTCTTGGTGGTATGAGGTCCCCATTCTCTGATTGCTTCCCTTTCATCTCTTGTAAGATAAAAGGTGGTGAAGGCCACACCCTAGGGAAACTCCCTTTATATTGGCTCAGGGATGTGACCTTAGTAAGTGTGTTACAATCCCACCCTAATCCTCTAACACAAAATTACAATCATAAAATGGAGGACAACCACACAATACTGGGAATCATGGCGCAGCCAAATTGATACACACTTTTTTTGGGGGACATAATTCAATCCATGACACACAGTGTAGCCCAGGCTCCCCTCCTTCCCTCAGCAAACACGCAATGCTCAAGCCATGTTGCATTTCTGCTTTTCCTGCACAAATGCCCATATCTCTGCACATGTCGGTTCTGCTGCCTGGTATGCTCTTCTCTGCCTGGTAAGCTCCCACTCACCCTTTAAAACTCAACAGAAGTAATCAGCTTCCTAAAGCCTTACCAAGCCTCCCTGTCATTTCTGTACCTGCTCCTACGCAGTCTAGCTTCTTGTTCTCACACAGTATGTCATACTGCACGTGCTTGCTTATACATCAGTCTATCCCACTAGTCTGTGAGCTCCTTTAAGGCAAGGACTGATCTGGTTGATTTTACCTAGTTCAGGAAATGTTTGATAATGGGAGAAGAAGTCAACACTCAACATGCTGCCACTGAAATTGGGAACAGAATCTTGAATGACCCTCCCAGAAATTCAGCAAATACTATTTATTATAACTTCTAGGAACCTTAAGGAAATTTGGTTTTCTCAGTACTGTGATCTAGTAAGTCTTAAAGTCTTTCCCCTCCTCTGTCCTCACCAGCTATCAGCTCAAGAAGCACCTTTCCCATCTTCTGCATATGAAGCAGCTTGGAGCAGATATGGACAGATGGAACCAAGAGTGTGCAGCCTTGCTTCTCAAGGTTTGGCGGAAAGAACTGGAACTGAAGCCCCCAAAGACCATCACCGCAGGCAGGACCACCAAGAGTCCATCCAAGGGCAGCTCAGGCATCAAGTCCACCAAGCATTCAGTGCTCAAGCAAATCTACGGTAATTCTCTTTATGGGCACCTCGTAGTTTACAAGAAACACCCCCAGAGAATCTGAAATGGGACTTCATGACACTGGGAAAAACTGCATTCAGACAGGAATTGAACTTAATTACTTCCAAGCACCAAGACAATTCTTAGCACCACACAGTCCCTCCCCCGCCACCCCACCACTTATCAATTCTGGATCAAAATTGGTTTAATGAGGCATTCTGGCATCTCAGCCCAGAGAGCTTTCCAGCCAAGATTCTCCTCTGGGTTTCATGACTGAGCACCTCACTGACCCTGCTTGGGTCGTCTTCCCCTTACGTTACTCATTTCAAGGACTCCAGGCTCGGGTAGCCCTGCCTGCCTCACTTTCGCCCTTTCTATGCTAAGATAGTACAGGGCTGCCTATTCTTTTGTGGAATGTCCCAGACCCAAGCACTACTACAGAAAATACTTATTCATGCAGATGAGCTGCTATAAAATGAAACATTTTCAGTCTGGATAAAGCCCATCCAAATAAACTCAGCAGAGAATAAGAATAAGCCTAACTCTACAACAGCAAAAAAATAGAGCCAAGGTACCTTTGGAAACAAACTTTCTGTGGTGCCCTGGGCTTATATGGTATAGTAATTTATTTTGGTAGACACCTGCCTATTGCTCAATAAGGACTTCGGAACTTGGTTAGGCCACAGCTGTCACTGGTCGAAGATAGATGATCATTTTGGGTTGATTGCAGGTTGCTCTCAAGAAGGTAAAGTACATCATCCCACAAGATCTCCAAAAGCCCCTTCTGTGCTGCGTCTCAATTCAGGTAAGGCAACCACTGCACTGGCAAAGCAGATAGGGAGAGAATGTGGGGAAGCTTTTTTCCCCCCATCTCCAAAGGTGGAAGACATTAGAACACATTTCCAGGGGTTTCCAATGGTCATCTGATTTCAGGTATGCATGTTTTTTTAATGCCCTTTCATGGAATTATTACTGCAGTCAACATCTGTCTCCCTACCAGGCAGGAACAATAAATGGTAGCTGCTATTGATCACCTTTGCATACTTGTTCACATAAAGGGAGAAATGAAAATACTGTCAGTTCTTCAAAGTAATAGCTTGGGAGTTCTTGTTCCATCTTGGTTTCATGTTAAGATCCTCCATCTTCTTCCCAAAGATGGGAAGAAGTCCCTTCACCACAAATTCTGGCTTTTGCCTCCCAGGGCACCATAAAAAGGATCTGATAGCATGTCCAGCTCAACTGTCCACTTTCACTCATCCAGGAGCAGCTCAGGGAACTTTCTTTCCAGCCTCCAGACAAGTGTTTTCCTCAGGGCTCCTTCATTCATGCCAGCATTAAATTTGGGTGATAAGTTCAGTGCTGTCAGCAGCTAATGCCAGGTCCAGTGTTTCTCCACAGGTGGCTATGGCAACACGCTACCCGATGCTCCCCTATCAACAGTCATCCTGCAGGAAGACTGCAGCTGGGAAGGTGAACAGTGGCTGTCGGCATGAACTTTAACGTTCATTTAGCTTGGGGGCGGGGGGCAGGGGGAGGCAGAGTAATTACTGCAATATCTTTAGAAAAAGTTGGGTGCCTTCATGTAATATAGGGAGGCTGATCCAGGAGTGATGAGTGGGGTAGTTAGAAACTTTCAAAGGAATCCAAGCCCAAAGTTCCACGGAAGAAAGCTTTCATGTTTACACTTGAGTGAACTGAGAGAATAGGCTCAAAAACAAAATTATCAGATATAACTAGAAGTGACATTTATAATCAAATACTATAAATCAGATAATCAGGGCATTTTTTTTTTCCACTTTGTCTTAAACCCAGGACCATCAGAAACCTTAAAATTAAGGTGTTTATCAGGATAAAAGATTTTTAGTTGGGAGGTTCAAAGGTCACAGAGTAAACAAATTCAAAGAAATACTTAGTGGTTTCCTACACTTAATACAAACAAGCTTGGTTATCCTACACATACAATTCTGACTGGAAGTTCGACAAGGACTAAATAAAATCTTTTCCTAACCCCAAACTTGGGGAAACAAGGTTTTGTTGGGCCCACCCCTACCTGCAATAAGCATTATCCAGTGATTAAGTCTAATGAGCATACCGAACTGCTAGCTGGTTTAGCGGAAGCCTGTTTTATACAGAAAACATGTCTATAAAAGAAAGAAAATGCTTTCCATGAAATAGGCATGACTTGGACACACAGAAGTTTCTGTAATGTGAAATCAGAGACACCAAACTGAACCAAGAGGATAGAGCATTAACTTTGGTTTTCACCTTGAGAATGCCATGGGGTTAGGGATGTTGTTTTTGCTTACTGCTCTATTCCTAGTTTCAGAGAAGTGCTGGCAGATTGTAGGTGCCCAAATAGTTGATGAATGAATGTTGTTGCCCCCGCTTTCTAACATGGGCGAGAGAACCTCTTAAGGCCTCTACCTCTTAAAAAGGAGGATGCAAAAAGTGGGATGAATGTGTAGCAAAATGACAGCCCCCTGGGCTGCTTCTCCTCTCAGATCTATAGCTTTCACGTCTTGAGCAGTAGAGTGGAGCTGGCGTTTGGGAGACAGTGAAACAATTTCTGCTCTTCTCTCCAGTCTTCTATACCTACCCTTGCAAACAACCCACAGAGATTAGCAGCACAGTAATGATCCAAGAGCTATTGATATGTACATTGATAAATGATGTATCTGTGTGTGTATACATACATACATATATATATGTATTTAAACCTGGGCCTATCTCTTTAAAAATAGAAGAACCCCCTTTAAAAAGCCTATTCCAATGGGTGGACTAATCATGGATCAAGTGATTATTAATAATGGTACCCCCTGTATGAATCCGGTATATTCCATCTGCACAGGGGTATGCAGATGACAATTCAAGATTATATAGTGAAGGCAGCCAAAAACATGTCCCAAAACAGTGGTTCACTTAAATTAATAGTAATAAACCGGGAAAGAAAAATTAAGACATGTATGTTGGATACTTTTTAAAACTATTCACCTTTCATGTTTGACAATTTGTTCCATAGAAACTTAGGAGCACTGTATGGCAATATGGCCTCAGCAAGGTCTGCTTACAGACTGGGGCCTTGGTATCCTCATCTGTCAAATGAGAGGGTTGACTACATCACTTTAGTTTGTAATTTCAAGGCCATTAAGAAGGCCTCAGTAAATCCATTTTAAGTTTGATATACCTATTAGTCCATCATTCTTGAGGATCAGAAGTTTTCAAATGAACCTATCTTCTAGAATGAACTTTAGGAAACTGGCACACAGAAAATTAAAAATTAAAAGAGATGTATGTGCTGAATGAGACATGTAGAAAGAAACAGAGCATCCTAGATTTTCCAGGCAGACTGAAAATCTAGGTTCCAGTTCCAGCTCAAGTGCCTTCATCCTCCAAGTTTCTTCCTTGAAAAAATGTCAGTTATCTTTGAGATGATGGAAACTCCAAGGTCAGTAAGTCATCCCACTTCCACAGTAAACTGGCCCATCATCTTGTTTACAGTGTTAGGTTCAGGAACAGTCTGAACCTAAACCCTTTTCCTCACCACCAAGGAACTCTTCCCTTCTGCATTATAATTAGTAATCTGAATTATCTATCTCATGTTTATTTTTAACAGTGAGCAACTTGCAGTGTATACAACTCCATGAAAACAGTGGAAGATCAAAGAACTTTTCTTATAACCTGCAGTCAGCTACTCAATCAAAAAGCAAAACAAAGCTTCGAGTGCCTATTTCGGAAGACTGTGTTCGGGGGAGCTGGAATAGCTAGTACAGCGTTCGGATTCTCTGTGTGGTAAAACTTTAATACCAGTGCTTGAAGCCTTATTAGCCTGAAAATGTGGTAATAACTGAAAGAATGTCAGCCTAAGTTTTCTTTCCACTCTTACACACCACTGTTTTGTAAATCATCTTAGCCTGCACTCAAGGAGCCTCGCTGTGTGCCTTCATGTCAGTCAGTATGCTGGAAATGAGAACTAATAATTACAAGTAAAATCTAAACAAAGCAGGGGTGCTGGGTTAGAATTTCTGCCAGCTAGCTGGCACAGGTTGGTTTCTTGCCTCAAGTGAAGAACCTAAATGAGATGGGAAGGAACCTATCTTATAGCAGCCTTCTTCATTTCACTACTAGTTCTAGAATTTAATGCAACAAATTTTATCACAGACAGCACGTCTTCACTGTTATTCCATTACTGGTTTTACATTTCAGATCAGAATCATGACTCAGTGTTGTTTTCAGAAACTGTCCATAGGACCACAGATAGACTCTGTTGATTCCTGACATTCTGCAGTTCCCCCGTTAGCCTCTGCCATGTACTCTCTCTATGCTTTTCTCACCAGCAGCAGCATCACAGTAGCAAGCAAATCAGTCAGGTTGGGTTTACAGACCAGACCATTCATGCAGCAAGGTACCTATTTAGGCCTCAGCATTCCACTTGTATTTTCTACAAAGGTGAGCAGTCTTGTCAAAATGCCATTTCTACTGGCAGGGAAAATTGTGCTAACTGTGCACATTCTAGCTCTCTAAGAACATCTGGTTAAAATAAAATCCAGTGATTGGTCATCTGGGCTTTTTCACATTTTTGAGAGTGAGGCTGTTGTGGGAATGCAGACAGGAGGCACAAACAGGGACATATTAGCTGCACAAGTAATGAAGGGCTGCCTCCATTTTTTTAAGATCAGTGATACCTCTGTGCTGACAAGAGATAGGATGCAATAAAGTGTTTACTTAATTTAATTACCTTAATTTTTACAGTTTGCTATTTAAAACTGTTTACATTCATTATTTTCGTAATTATGAGGCATTATATAAAATCACTATATACAACAGGTAACTTTTTAAAACTATAATGGATCTTTAGTAGAAAATTATTTTGAAAAGTATACTTACCCAGATTAGGCCAAGCACCATTTAGATACAAGAAAATCCCAACCAACTGCAGCACTGTGTTGAAATGCTGCCCCTGCCTGGAGAGCTGGAAACTGTAAATAACAGAACTCCATAGTGAGAAGCTGAATATCTTGCTGGATAAGGGCAAAAACCCCAAACAAAAAAAAACCTGGTTTCTGTTGTTACCGAAGTGGAGCTGAGAACACAACAAATGAGGGTTGCCTAGATGGGACCACAAAGATTTAGCCAATTTCTTGGTAAATAATAGAAGATATCACATTACTACTATATATTTTATAAATATTCAGCTCCTAAGAAATGCAAAACACACTACCCACTGTAATCATGTATCATGTGCTACTCTAGGTCAGTCTGCCCACTAGTGGGAATTCCCAAGTGTTATTTTTCTACTGCAGTATATATAAAGGAAGGTTCATAAACAACTTCTTTAAAAGTTCAGCTTTAATGACAAACATTCACTCCATCACTTTCTGTTCAAAATTAGACAACAATAAACAATTTCAAACAGGAGGTACCATGGTGTCTCTTCAATATACTGTACTCAATGCACCAGGCCCCTGGGGATGTCCAGTGAGGTACACATTGAAGCAGTAATGTAAATCTGTGAGCCACTGTTCCTGAACACCTCCACTCTTCAATGTCTGAAGAGAAAAGCAAGAGTCATTTGAGAATTGTACCAACATGGCTACGCTACATGACAGTATTTTTACACCCAAACATGATCTCTCAGAGCATCTGCCAACACTTCCTCCATCTATAAATCATCCCAGGGAGTGTTCCTGGAAAAAGGAACCTATCAATTGGGCAATACCACAAATTCCTAGTTATATCCTCAAGTACAAGTGCCACCAGCTTGTTGATGGGTCTGTTCCCTCCCCCACATCCTAGAGACTAATGGAATTTCAACATCAAGCAATCTCTAAACCCTCAACCTCCATCCCTTGACATTCTGGAATCTCATGATCTTTGTGAAATCAAGAATTGCCCTAGTTATCTACAAAGCCAACTGACAATTTGTCGATTTCTTCCTTATAGTCCCATCTGGGACTAATCCAAAATCTTGACTTTTCGTCTATTATTTCTGAATTATCTTGCTGCCTCTTCCATTTCTTCAAAGGCTACTGAGAAAATTCAGAATGAGCACCTGTGTTACACACAGGTAAAAGCTCTATTACTCCAGAGTACTGCTACATACCTCAATCGATAAACCCACAAACACCTATACAAAAAGACCCTCTAACCCTCCAAAACCAAAAGCACTGAAGGAACCCTAGACAAGACAGCTGCCACCCCCTACCACACCCACAGCTCAAGGCAGAGAGCAACCTATTGGACAAATCTGAAGTCTACAGCTTCCTTCTTCCTCTTAACTCTGAAGTGACTAGAAATTGACCTAAAGTTTATTCCTGCTCAGTAGTTTCCTTATAATAGCAAACATTCATTAAGCATTTAATAAATGCCAGACACACTAAAAACTTTACTTGGATAAGCTCATTTAATGTTCACTAAAACCCAATGAAGATGGCATTATTCCTATTTTTACAGACAGGAAAACAAGCTCAGACAGGTAAAAGAACTTGCCGAGCTATCTCAGCCAATCAATAGAGTCTGTATCAGAATCCAGGTGGGAGTCCCTCTGATGCCTCTTTTTTGGAACTAAAGCTGCTTGCCACTTTAATTCAGTATTTGTCTTTTAAAGCTTTTATTACTGATTCTGGAATCAAAGGCACTCCCCTGGTTAAGTGACAACCAGGGTACTGGGTGGCAGGGGAAACCCTGAGAAATATCACACTGGGCTTAATTCTAGGGAGTCAGTCAATGGGTGGGAATTTGACCCTCCCAACAACACTAAAGCCCACAGTACCTTGTCTCTTACCGTAATATTCCTGATGATCTGCTGCACCAAGATCGCATTGGTCAACATATGAGTCCTGAGGGGTGCGTGCTGTAGCAGCAGGCGAAGAAGCTGGCCCACAACAGGCAGCTCCTCAGGCCCCGCTCTGTTCACCCGCAGGCTCTGCAGCATCAACCTGAGAACTCGAGGCAGGACAGCCAGGATGGAGACACAGGCCCCCCACAGTTTGTCCCTATAATAGCAGAAATGGAAAGAGTCAGTGAGCCCAGCATAGACAGGAAAAGTGCCCTTTCCTCCCCACTTCCCCAAACTGAAAATGTCCTTTTAAGAAATATGGTGTTTTTAAGTAAAATGCCACAAACTACACTAATAAGAACCGGGTGTCATCAAAACTAAATAAACAAATCCACTGAAATTAGCCAACTTCCCCTATTCTATGGAGTCTAGGAAGCCTAGTGACCGGCACTTTCCCAGGCTTAGCAACACATTCTTGAAGCCCTAGTGATCATACATAACAAAAGAATTAGCCAGAGAATAGAATGATCTACACATGCATATCCTCTGCTATCCATCACTGGACATTATTTAACTGTCTACTATATAACACCAAAGACATCGGAAAGTAAGAATATCCCCCGCTTGTAAAAAAAGGAAGAAAAAAAAATCATGAAACTCTAAGCCTATGAACTTGATTCTGAGCCTCTTCAATTTCTCAGAACAGGGCAGATTTGCAGAGAGAGATGTGCTTACCAAGAGCCTAAATGGTTTTTAGAAAGTAGTCAATAAGGGTACCATCCCTATGACTAAGGTCATGGAAATCCAGAGATAGTAAATCCAAACTTGGGTAAGCAGCATTCTCTTGGTACATTTACAGAACAGGTCCAAAAGTGTTTACAGTAGAGATGGGTGGACTTGTATCTGACATAATCACATTCTAGAAGAGTGTCAATTAAACAAAGCAATATTCATCTGAAGGGAGAGTCTGTGTCCTTAGTCTGCAAATTTCTGTACCAGGAGTGCATAATCCTCCCAGTCCCCAAATCTTTCTAAAAGAAATCTACCTCCAGACCTAGAGGGAGCAGCTCTTTCACTATACGCCCACCACCTCCCAAATACCACATACAGCAATCGCATCAAAGGTGGACACTGAATCCATTCCACGCCAACCAGATTCTCCTATCTGCAGACACTTTATTCAGTCTCTTGACTAATGCAGAGCCAGGCTGGGGTAGCCGTGTGCAAGGGGAGGATAGAAAGCTAGACTGTAGATACAGCCAATAATGAGACAAACACGCAGAGATACAAGACCACACAATCCAGGAGAGAAAGCAAACAATGGAGACAGTAACTGCTATGGTTCCTGCCGTCTGATCCCTAATTCCAGTTCCTAATGGAGCCCAGCCACACTCCTAGCCCTTGGATTTTACAAGTTACTCTTACAAGGGTCCAATTGATTAATTTTCTCTTTAGTTAATCTGAGTAGATTTCAAGTGATTCCTGATCAAAACTCTGCTAAAAGAGCTGCTGGTTTCTATCTCACATCAAATATAAAGCTTAGAATTCTATTCTTCAAACGCCTCAATTAAAACGGTCAAGCCAGAGAGAAATACAGAGGAGACATCAGTGCCAACAGATGGAAGCAATGTCACATGAAGAACAGTGACAGCATTCTTAGGGTCTTCTAAGAACTGTCAGTTATAAGAACAATTTTACTTAGTCTATAAGAACAATTTTACTTAGTCTATAAAGTATATGAAGGACAGAACTGGAACCAAATGAAGCTGAGATTTCAGCTCAACATAAAGCAACAGTTCTAAACCTTTTTAAAGGCATATACCACTTTAAAGAAACTAAAGTTCAACATTTTGCAGGCAATTTTCCGAAGAGTTCAGATAACGTCCACAAACTAGTGATATCTTCTCGTCAGAGAATACCACCCTCCCCTTCTACTCCAAACAAAAAGAAATGCAGATAAAATACATTAAAAAAAAAAAATTCCAAAGCCAGAAGGGGTCAAACCTCTACATACCAAAACTATGACAGAACTCACGTAAATACACCCAACAGGGGTACAGAACTAGATATGAGTTTTTAGGGCTGGGGTTTTAAATAGCCAATAGTGTTGAAGTTGAGGCTTCAAGCCCCATGCGTGGGGACTGGGAGCTAGAACTGAGCTCCCTGGATATAGCGGAAGCCAGGAAAATGCAGATGTGAAACCGTTCCACAGGGAGTCTCCACACACCTCCACAGAATTCCCACAGAAGACACACTCAGAGAAAAGTTATACAACCCAAAACATGAGTTAGTTCAACCCAATGAAAGACAATCTCCAGAGACCCACCTGCTCCCCAAAATAAGGCAGAATTTCCACACCAGAGAAGAAAAAAGCTAACAGAACTGACAGAAAGTTTAAAGTAACACCAGTAAATCAAGAACAAGACTGACAGCCAAGTAAAAATCCAACAGCGATAAAAGAAAAAATAATACTATGGTTTATAAAATTCTCAATAGGCGTTACAAAAGAATTAGTAAACTCGAGGATGTTAAGAAATAAGACAGGACGAGAAGCTCCATATGGTTAAGGAAGAGTTTTAGAAGGAGAAAACAAACAATGGAGGAGATACAAGTAACTGAGTAACTCAATAAATAATAACTGAGAACCTTCCAGACCTGAAGAAAAAATATTAACTCCTCAGAAAAAGGCACACACTAAGTTTCAAGCAGGATAAATAACAAATCTACACTAAGATTCTGACGGCAACACCAAAGGATAAAGATCAAACAGTAAAAACAGAATATATTACTACCTTCAAACCAAAAGGACTCAGGTGAACAGCAGACATTTTATTACCAACAATGAGCCCAGAAGACAACAGAACAATATGTTCAAGGTACAAGATGAAACCTAATCTTCAGGCCAGCATTTGTAAAATTAAAAGGCTCCTGGTAATCTGACTGGCATTCTCATTATGTGTAATCTCACAAACACCTTCTACAGTAGGGGATGGAGTAGCCCAAAAAAGAATTTTAATTACCCACGACCCTCCTTGTGATTGTCATCTTGAGATACACAGGGTCCTGGCCATACCAACACTTTCAATACCTTCTTTAAAACTCGGCACTTTAAACAAACAAGTATTACATACACTAAATTTTGTCCAGTCCAGCCACATAAAGTCAAAGCAGGATGTTCCTCTATAAGAAACCACAAAAGATTTTTGAAACTTCTCATGGAAGTGCTTAATAAAGGGGCTATATCTGAAGACAGAAAATGACAAATAGCAATATACGTATTTCATAAATAGGAATGCTTAATCTAAAATCCTTAGGTCCCCCGAGAAATTGCTTGCTGCTTATGAAGCCTTTTCTTGAACTATAGAACTAAAGTTTGATGATGCATAAGCAAAATACCATCAAATCTTAGTTTATTTACATGTGTATTTTTTACTATTTACAGTGAAATACACAAAACTAAAGAAATATATACTTACTGGAAAAAATCCAAATGTCTGTTGACAGTAAAATGGGTAAGTTGTGGTATATCAAATAACAGAATACTATACAGCAGGGGTCAGCAAACTATGACTGGCAAGCCAAATCCAGCCCACAGCCTGTGTGTAAATAAAATTTTACTGGAACACAGCCATGCTCATTCACTTACCTCTTGCCAATAGTTACTTTCACACTACCACGGTAGTGCTGAACAGCTGTCACAGAGACTATATGGCCCAAACCAAAAACCCACTGCCGTAGGGTCAATTGCAGCTCATAGTGACCCTACAGGACAGAGTAGAACTGCCCCATAGGGTTTCCAAGGCTGTAAATCTTTACATAAGCTGACTGCCACATCTTTCTCCCACAAAACCTAAAATATTTACTATCTAGCCCTTTACAAAAAGACATCTGCTGACCCCTGCTATAGAGAAATGAAAATGAATGAAATACAGGCAGTCCCCATATTACAAATGAGATCCGTTCCAAAGTTTGCATTTACATCAAATTTGTAGGTAAGTTAGAACAGGTACATACAGTTCTTATTTAGCGTCAGTCAAATGTCTTAGTATACAGTATATATTTTACCTTTCTATGAATATAAAACATTTAAGAAACACTTTCAAACAGCGCAGTGTATTTATGAACATCACAAAGTAGTATATGCCTTCATTATTATAAACTACTGTATGTGTTTAACTTAAATTTTTAATATAATAGGCTTTATAGCAGTCTGTTCTTAAGTACGAGTTGTCCATAAGTTAGATGTTCGTAACCCAGGGACTGCATGTACAACTAAATGAATCAACACGGATGAATCTCACAAATGACACTGGAGGAATCAAATCACAAAAAATACATACAGCATGATTTCTTTAATATAAAATTCACAATATGCAAAGCAAAAACTCTATTGTTTAGAAACACAATAAAACCATTTAAAAACAGCAAGGAAGTTATTAATGGAAAAGTGATTATTTGTGGGAATGCAGAAAAGAAATCTGACCATGGAGGGTACATAGAGTGTAGGTGTTCATGTTATTTCTTAACCTGGGTGCTGGTTAACTAAATGTTCGGTTTATAATTGCTCTTTAAACTATATAAATGTTTTCTTACTATGAGTATGTATTATATATCTTCATGACATTTAAAAGCTCAAAAAAGACTAGAAAGGTACACATCAAAATGTTAAAAGCAGGTAACAGAATGATTTTTATTTTCTTATATTTCCTCATGTTATTTTTTTTTTTTTTACACCTTCTGCAATGAATATAAAATGGAAAAAACATTTTTTTAAGGCACACAATAAGAATATAAGCATGAGAATATTTTTAAATTACAGTGGAATGTTCCAAACAATCCTAGAAGCTTTAGCCTGAATATTATATAGTAGCAAAAGTACTAATTAAGAACAGTAGCACCTTAGAACAATGTCCTTTAAATCCAAGAATTTAAAATGTCACTCTGGCTAGCTCTAATAAAGCCCAAAGCAAAATACGAAGGCTTATACTAATAGCCCATCCTCCTAAAAACAATGTACAGTGTTGTTTTCTTTCTAGACCTATAACAATGGTAAATAAGAGAACGCTCTCAAGAAACTTTACAATGCCATCCAACTTTTCAAATTTATACCTTAAAGAGGGAAAAAAAAATACACCTAAGAGTTCTCATAACACAGAAAGAATTCATTAAAGAGCAAGGAAAAAGCTAGTTGCGTTTACAAAAACTCTCTGAAAGAGAACTGAAAGTATTTTCAAAATCCAATCTTCTTTCACTCTCACTCTCATTTTATTTATTTATTGGCAAGTAGGATAGTTGAATAGGTACAAAATATTAAAAACAAAGGCTGAGAAATAAAGAAACTAACCCTTACCTCTTTCTTAGATGTTCTGCTTCCCCCTTCTCTAGAGTCAGCAGAAAATAAAGAAGACTGTAGCAACAAGAAGCCAGAAATGGCAGTAGCGTTTCACTAAGTATACATGCCTGATCCAGGAGCTTACAGATAACACCCAAAACACAGCCAGCTGTGCTGTCGGGAATTACGGTCAACCCAGCCTAGGTAGAGAAAAGTCAGATTGATTACCTCTTCACCACAAGCCTCACCCTCATCCTGCCTCAATAAAACCAAAATCTGTCAACTGAGGAACTAACCTTACATCACTTCTATATAAAACCATTACATGCAGAATGCAACCCACCTACCACATCTTAAGGCCCCGTTTTCCTTAATTTAATCCCCAAGTTAAGTAACTTTGAAAAGATGCAAACTCAAGAAATACTATTAACCTAAGCCACTGCCTTTTTCCATGACAAAGTCTTCTAAAATTTTCTAGACATTACAATTTCTATTGATGGTCAGCAGTAACTTTATTTTAAAGAATTATTTCACGCACCCAATGAAAATCTTGATATCAACAATCACACTAACAAGATTCTTAGATTGTTCGGATTGGAAAACTCTGATATCTCACACCACCCCCATCCCAGGTAATTAAATGTACAAACCAGAGTTCCCCTGCCCTTTGACATAGCTTTTCATTTAGACATGACTAAGGAAAAATCTCTACTGTAGTCAGTAAGATATTACTATATTAAACACTTGACTGCTTCACTGCTAAAAAAAACAAAACAAAACAAGGCTAGATAATAGTCATCATAGTATGCTAATTCATCTAGACTTTACTCCATGCACTGTCACCAAGATAAGGTCTACCTTGTGACTGTATGTATACATGACTTAAATCTCCTGGAAACTACTGTTGAGAAATCATAAAAAATCCGCAGAGTCTGAGGTCTTAACCTTCTCCATCTGACTGTCTGAAAATAGTGGCCAAGACTGACTGGCATGTCGATCTTTTACTATAATAATGAAAGTAGTGAAAGGAGGGCACAAATCCCTGGAATGGAGGTGAGAAAAAAAAAGGTAGGTATCTTTGGACACACTAAGGATAAAGGTTGGAAGTTTAACAGCAGGAAGAAGAGAGTATTGGAAATTCAGCAATGCTCTTTCAACTCCAGGGAAACAACACTTTAAAACTATAATACAATATAAAGACAGCCAAAGTTCAAAGTGTAAACATTAGGGAAAGTTAAAAGCAACAACCTAGGAATACTTAATGTGAATTTAATAGCAATGGGAACAAGTGACACCCACTAGCCAGAAGTCAAGTCAGTCTCATGGGTAGGCCCACTGCTTTCAGTGCTCAGGTTCCAACCTCAGCTTGTTAGGTAACATCGCTACTTTGGACCCAGAATGTTCTAGGTTCCAGAGCACAGACTCTAGTCTGATGCTGGATTCCCAATATGCTTATGCCAGCCACATGTGAGCTCGACCATTACAAGTTGGAAAGGACCTGAGGTATAATTCTCAGGTCCCTCACTGCACAGAAACAGAACCTGAGGTCGGGGGGTGGGGGCTGCAAGGCCACAGAATCAATTAGTAACAGCCAGGAATAAAACCCAGATTTCTCAGTTCTTGGCCCTGCATTATGCTGTGGGATGCACGGTATTATCATTAAACTTAGAATTCCAGATACTCTCTCTCCCTGGCTATGGCAAAGCCAATCTTAACCGCAGAATCACTTTTTTTACAAAAGAGAAAAACAGTATATTTACCAAATGCTTACTGATGGCACTTTGCAAGACGTCAAAGCTCTGGCTTCGAGCTGGGATAACTAATAAACTGTGACAAACTGCCTGTCGGGAAAGGAGAAAACCAGTAGGCAAATCAGGACATTTTTAGGTCAGAAACAAGTTCAATAGATTTGTTTTTTATATATAATTTATTTTGTTGTTGTTGAGAATATACACAGCAAAATATACACTAATTCAACAGTTTCTGCACGTACCATTTAGTAACACTGATTACGTTCTTCCAGTTGTGTAACCATTCTCACCCTCCTTTTCTGAGTTGTTCCTCCCCCATTAACATATATTCACTGCCCTCTAAAGTTCGTACCTAATCTTCTGAGTTGCTGTTGTCAACCTGATCCCATATAGACAGACCTTAAAAGAGCATAATGCTCAAAGCAGACATTTTTTACTAGTTAAGATAAACTATTGTTTGGTTTTAAGAAGACCTCAGGATATTTTTGGTTTAAAGTTTAAAGATTATCTCAGGGCAATAGTTTCAGCGGTTCATCCAACCCTCATGCCTCCAGAAAGTCTGGAGTCCATGAGAATTTGCAATTTTGGCCTACATTTTCCCCCTTTTGATCAAAGATTCTTTCTTCTATGGAATCTTTGATCAATATGTTCAGTAATCATAGCTGAGCACCATCCAGTTCTGGTCTTACGGCAAAGGTGGTAGTTTTTCATGGAGGCAATTAGCCACACATTCCACATCCTCTTCCTAGTCATAACTCTCCTCCTTTCTCTGCTGCTCCAGGCTAACAGAGACCAAGTGTTGTGCCTAGGATGGCCACATGCAAGCTTTAAAGACCCCAGGCACTATGCAACAAACTAGGAGATAGAACAGAGGTACTAAACATGATATTAGGCCAATTAACTGGGATATCCCATGAAACCATGACCCTAAACCTCCAAACCAAGAAACAAAATCCCGTGAAAGTTCAATAGATTTTTTTTTAACCTACTTGCTCTACCTATTAAATAGGAAACATGTAACAAAAATGATTCTGAAGATCCACATGCCAAAGGTCAAACAGTCAGGTCTTTTACATGGGCTAGTTTTCCAAATCATTCATTTACTGAACTTTTAGCTAGCCCCTCTTTAGGAGTCATGCATGAGAACTGAAGAATGAGGCACTCTCTCTTCTCTCACCGCCTTCAAGTAGCTTACACACTATCAAAGGAGGTTTATATTATTAAGTAAGTGCTGCAAAAAAAGATTTGAGTGATGTTAACAAAGGGGCTGACAAAAGCCTTTTCCCCATCTGGTGGAAAAATATGTCATACAAAAATACTTATGACCCAGAAAATACTAATACCCTGTTCTATTTACTCATAACCCTGCCTCCAGTCCCCAAAGGTAAAAGAAAAAAAAAAAAAGAGAGAGAATGATCGACATGAAAAAAATAAAAATATAAGGGAGGTGGGAGTCAAAGCCCTAGTATTTCTAATTATCCAAGTTCTCAAGAAAGGAGAAAGCGGCAAGGCCAGCACCCAATCCTTCAGAGATATCATTAAAACAAACTCCAGAATATCAGGAAGTGAGTGCATAAAAGGAAATATGTAGAAGAATCACATGCAGGGACTGATGGAAGGAAGAACATCACTCTAGGAAAAGGATGGTCACGCTAAGAAGCTAAGCTCAAAAGACTGTCAATCAACCCTCAAAAATCAAGGCCTTTCTTCCTAGTCTGTCTTAGTCTGGAAGTTCCACTGAAACTTGTTCAGCATCATAGTAATACGCAAGCCTCCACTCACAGATGGGTGGTAATTAACAAGATATGGTCCCTGTATCTGAAGAGCTCCATGGTCTCAACTCCCAGACAGTGAAAATACAATGTGGTTAAGGATTAGAACAGGGGTATGAACTAAGTAAGGAGCCCTGGTCGTGCAATAGAAACCCTGGTGGCATAGTGGTTGAGTTCACCTGCTAACCAAAACGTTGGCAGTTCAAATCCACTAGGCGCTCCCTGGAAACCCTATGAGGAAGCTCTACTCTGTCCTATAGGGTTGCTATAAGTCAGAATCGACTCGATGGCAACGGTTTTTTTTTTTTTTTTCGTTATGGTAATGCAGTGGTTAAGCACTCAGCTGCTAACCAAAAGGTTGGCGGTTCGAACCCACCCAGCGGCTCCACAGGAGAAAACACCCAGCGATCTGCTACCACAAAGATTATAGCCTAGAAAACCCTATAGGGCAGTTCTACTCTGTCACATGAGGTTGCGATGAGCTGGAATTGATTCAACGTCATCTAACAACCACCACTTAGACTAAATGCTTTACTGGGCTTCACAGAAGACAAAATGCAAGCTGACTCCTGAAGAATAACTAGGAATTTACTAGTTTTGACAGGGAAACCAACTCTCAGTCAGACAAGTTGATCTATGGAGACAGTAAAGTAAAACAGTAGCAAGAAAAATCCTAAGATAGGGAAAAACTTTTAGATGTCTAGAATTCCTTGCTCACTGAGGAGTCTGGACTTGATCTTGTAGTTTTCCAACAGGTGTGCTAACTAGAAGGGGTAACAGGTTGCTACGCTATTGCTCCCCAAGTGGGCAGGTGGGGCTGGATCTCTCTAGCCATTTGCCATTAGGCTATTTACCACAGTATGTCAAACAAATTTCACTTTCTCCATCTACCAGTAAGTGAAAGGTTCATGTATAACATAGTGCCTCACACAATGCAAGAAACATGTGGTATTAGTACAGAAGAAGACAGACTTGAAAGTTAATGACTAGAAGTAGAGACCAGCTGAAAGTCAGGGTACCTGGAATGATAAGGGCCACTCTGCCTCTAATGAGGCTTTCTCCTCTATATGACTGCGTTTGAAAGTCATGGAGTGGTTATTCAAATATGAAATTCAAATTATTCAAAATATCATGCTGGTATTCTGCAGAGGCAAGGAGCGTACACATAGCAACTGGAAGAAAGGTATAATGAAATACATGCCAAAAAACCTAAATAAGTTTACAGAAAACAGAAGTTGCATAACACAAAACAGAAATCACCCAACATATCCATAAAGTGGGATATCCTCCAGGAACTGGACTGCTTTCTTAACAAAGTCTGTATGATAAAAAATGGGGGAAGGTGGAGGACTATTCTAGAATAAGAGGCGTAGAAGAAGATTTGCAATGTGTGAACTTTGACATGTATGAACATTGACTGGATCCTGGTTTGGGGGAAAAGCTCTATAAAAGACATTTCGGGGACAACTGGGAGAAATCTGATTAGGAAACAACTAATAATAATTACTAGTAAGTTGCTTTAATCCACAATTCTGCTCAAGAAGGATGTCTGACATATACGGTGCTTTTCATTTTATATATATTCTTATTCAATATGTTGACAAATGAGTATCAGCATGGTAGAATATTAATCAAAAACCCTAAGCAAGAAACCTGAAGACCTAAGGAGATGTATATACAAACAAACATGATTGAATAATGTTACAAGGAACTTGTGCTCCAACTATTAAGACACACAAAACCTACAGAAACATGCATCTTATGAAACAGGGATATTTATACAGATAACTTAAAAGAATGTATGATAGATATAATGTTATCTTAATTCTGTTCTTTTTAAAAAAACAAGTAGTTTCAGTGGTTAAAAAAAAGAAAAAAATCTTATATCTTATAGTCTAGATCTCAGCCACAGATCACAGTAACAGTCATTCTAGATAAGACTTTACTACATAATGTTTCACAAATTCTGTATCAATGGTGAACTGTTGATTTGAAACATAAGTTTTAAATCTTTTTATTAACATCTCTTAATTCTAAAAGACATTATCGTGTTCATTAACTTGAAGCTTAATTCAAAGCACAAAAACTTTTTTGCCCTTAGAAATGTATCATTTTCCCTTCATTCAACACACTGTCATTTGTCTTTTTAAAACAATTAATCACACTGATGACTCAGAAATGCAGAAATGACCGCTGCTGTATTCAAATGAAATTAAGATGACAAAGTCTTAGGGGTACGGACATATAAACTGCTATGCCCTTCCCTATGCCAGGTTCTTCCCTTCTCTCACTCCAAACTGTCTTTTCAGTAAGCCTCCACTAGTCTTTCTCCAGAACCTTCTAACATATTGCTTATAATTATAGGCCTGGTGAATTTTCATTAAAAATTAAGCTTAGAATTTGCAATTAAGGCTTAAGGAGCTTTCCAGTGGGTAAAGGGAATGAAGGACAGTATCCACTGGCTACTCCAGTACCCATTTTCACACCTTTCTCCCCTGGCCACCTGTACAAAAAAGGCTGTAAGAGCCACCTTCTTTCTTTTGCAGATTTTCTCAGAGCTAGGAATCACCATGTAGTACAGTTCTCGCCAATGGTATCTACGCAGGAGTCCGCTGGCGGACCTCCAGACAAAGATTTTTCTTTCCTTTGATAGAAAATAAGCTGGACTGGCATCGCCCCTTCCCTCTTCTTCCAAACTTGAACGTAAACCTGATGCCTGGAACTACAGCAGTCACTTCAAAAACTTGAAGGAATGGTCAAGAGAGCTACAGACATGCTGGTTGTTAACATCGGTGAACTTCTGAATTAACACGAGCAGCTACTTACTTTGAAACTGCTTGTGTGTGTACATCTTCTGGGGGCGAGGGACTTTGTGTTTCTATTAGCTGCCCCAGAATACAATCCTAACAGATATATAGCTTTCTAGTTATATTCATTTTTGGCTCCTGAGGCTTTTTGGCCTTCTCATGCTTCTCAGACATATACCAAAGAAACAAATTTGCCAATAAGAAATGTTAACATATTTGGATTCCTTCAATTATCTTACAAACAAGTTTTAACATATTACAAGGGAGACTAGTTCAAATATAATTCAGTGTAATCAACACGTCAAAAGCAAAGATAGGAATAATCATCATTAGTGCCAAAGCCAACTGCCATTTAGTTTCATACACAGTGGGTAACGATTTTAGTTACTCAAGAATCATAGCCACAGAAAAGAGAGAAGTCCTAGAAGTCCAACTACATGAAAATAAAAAAATTTACAAGTGGCAAAACTCACAACTAACAAACGTAACAAATATATATTTTTTGTACATG